ACTACTACTACTACTACTACTACTACTACTACTACTACTACTACTACTACTACTACTACTACGACTACGACTACGACTACGACTACTACTTTACTACTACTACTACTACTACTACTACTACTACTACTACTACTACTACTGCCACTACTACTACTCCTACTACTACTACTACTACTACTACGACTACTACTACTACTACTACTACTACTACTACTACTACTACTACTACTACTACTACTACTACTACTACTATTACTACTAATACTACTACCACGACTACTACTACTAAAACTACTACTACTACCACTACTCCTACTACTTTTACTACCTACTACTACTTACGACTACGACTACGACTACGACCTACGACTTACTACTACTACTACATTAATAACCTACTTACTTCTTACTACTACTACTAAACTACTTCTACTACTAATTATACGACTACTACCTACTACTTATCCGACTACTACTACTATCCTACTACTAACTAGACTTACTCCTCAATATAATACTTTTATTACGACGTACGACGACGCCGACGACGACGACGACGACGACGGCCGGACGACGACGCTTCTACTACTACTACTACTACTGCTACTGCTATGCTCTACCACTACTACTGCCAGTACTGCCACTACCACTACCACTACCACTATTACTACCACTACTACTACCACTACTCCTCTCCTCCTCCTCCTCCTCCTCCTCCTCCTCCTCCTCCCCCCCCTCCTCCCCGTCTGTTCGCACCCTCCTCCCCGCCTTCTCGTCTCTTCATTCCCTCTCTCCTCCTCCGCCGTTTCCCCCTCCTCCCTCCAAAGCACGCAGAAGCCACTCAATTTGAGTACTGCTCGCCTCTCCCCCGAGTATGGCCTGGGAGAAGCCCGCCCCCTTCCAAGCATGTTTTTTTACGCACAGCTTCCTTGAGTTGTGTTTCGATTTGTTTTCGATCGGCCGACGACTCGAGCACCCGTGGGGATCGTGCCGCGACGGATTCGTTTTGTTAGATCGGAACGTCTTCAGTTGCTCAAAATCGTGTTCCCGCCGCAGCGCTGGCCTCATTCAAGGATCGGCACCATGCTCCGAGCACTAACCACTTTACTGGATCCGAGCCTTTCTTCATCGTTGTCGCCCCGCTTCTGTTCCCCTCTCCCGCGTTCCCCCTGTCACCTTGCTCCTCCCGATTCTCGCTTTCCTGCTCCTGCTGTTGATGTTCCTCCCAGTCCTCCTCCTTCCTCGTCGTCGTCCTTCTCCTCCTGCTCCTTCCTCCCCCCTCCCCCATGCACGTTCGCTTCCAATTTCCGATGGCCCATAACGCGATTGAGGTATTTTGCGATGCTCTCTGTAATTGCAGGCCCGCTATGACACGCATGGGCACCATGGGAAGAGATAGGTGGGAGGGGTCCGATACCAGATACGGCGCGAGCGCACCTTGCTCGCCCCGACTCCCTCTCCCGCCCCCCCCATGCCGCCCTCATTGGAGACGACCGGGGGGTGTTGGCACCCCAGAATATCTTGTCGGGCGTGTCCCCCTACAGGCGGATTTTGGACGAAAAACAAAACATACTCCAAACGTATTCTGAATGGACCAACATAACCGAAGAATCGCCCCCATATTAGTTCCATATTATTTTTCGACTACTTTTGAAGATTCCTCCTGTAGAGGGACAGGCCCGACTTCAGGCATAAAGAACACGGCCAAAAAGGCCACAAAACCGCCTTCCCGAACCCACGAGCTCGAACCTGTCCGCCCCTCCTGCTGGCCAGAGCCAGTGCTGGGGTCAGGTCGGGCACGTCCCCCACAGGCGGATTTTGGACGAAAAATTAAAGATAACCCCATAATGCTCAAACATAGGCAGCACACAAATCGTCGCCGGACTATTTCTGGACTATGTCTGGCTATTCCTCCTGTAGATTGACAGGCCCGACTTAGGGCTAGAGCCCCTCAGACTCCCAGACGGCTCCAACCTCGCAGGTTGCCTTCGGGGTCTGGCCAAAACCTGCGATCAAGAGAGTTCATCCCCCCAAAGCGGCGCGAGCTCCTGGACCGTTCTAGCAAGGGCCTGCGGCCCAAGGTTTCGGCCAAGTAGTTTCCTGCCTTTTCCTGTATGGCTAAGTGATCCCATTTCCATTGCCATTCCCTCCCTCCTATCCTCCATCCCTCCTCCCGCCCACTGCGACTCCGCATCGGCTCAGGTCTGTCCGAGCGCCCGAGCACGTGGATCGGGGGCTGGCGCACCCCCCCACCCACCCCAGGAATGGTCCACCGCTCAGCGGGTGGCCGCCCCTGCGGAGGAAGGGGCGCGCAAGCCGGGGCCTGCAAATACGCATACACGGGAGGGCGTCGACGACCGCGATCCTCGAAGAACGAAGAACGACATAAACATAAACTGTTGGAGGTCCCCGCAGATTTCCTAGATCGGCGCTGAACCCCTGGGCGCGCGGAACGCTGCAATGGTCTGGCTTGTCTGGATGATCTGGTCCATCCTTGCCAACTCTTGCTGCTCCGACCGTCTCGTACATGGGTTCTGGTTATAATACTGGTCTGGCCAGTCTGGTTGATCTGCTCGGTCTCTGCTGTCTGATCGGTTGCATTATATTCAACCCGACTGGTCCTCCTCCGCCTCCTCCTCCTCCTTCTCCTCCTCCTCCCTCCTCCTCCTCCTCCTCCTCCTCCTCCCTCCTCCTCCTCCTCCTCCTCCTCCTCCTCCTCCCCCCTTCCTCCTCCTCCTCACTCCTCCTCCTCCTCCTCCTCCTCCTCCTCCCCTCCTCCTCCTCCTCCTCCTCCTCCTCCTCCTCCTCCTCCTCCTCCTCCTCCCCCCGCGTCCTCCTCCTCCTCCTCCTCCTCCTCCTCCTCCTCCGCCTCCTCCTCCTCCTCCTCATCCTCTGGGTCGTCTTGT